TTTTCAATTTTTTATTTTATTGCTTTTTATTTTTTACTGATGACAGAATTTTTATTTGAAAAATAATAGGTGTTAACAAAAATAAAATAAATCTGTTACTGTGTACCAGATGATAAATGAGAGAATGAACAATTCCAAGAAAAGCATTCCAAAGATCCTTTCTAAGCCGACAGCAGGACTATTCAACCTGTTTTCCAGAAATATCCCATCACCAAACCTATCTTTTGCCCAATTTTCCACTGACCTTCATGTCAGTTTTTCTTTTTTTCAACAATATCAACAATTAATTTAAATATAAATTAAATGGACATTGTAGATAAAAGGTATAAATGTTTAACGTGTAAAAGTAAGAAAAAAACTATATGCTCTATACATATGTCACACTTTAAATATCAATATGCCAATAGTTTAAAAGCAAAAAATGGGGAAAGTAAGCATGAGAAATCTAAAGTTGACCTATTAAATATAAAATAAATTTCAAGAAAAAGTATTTTCAGAGATAAAGGGGTATATTGCAAAACCATAGCATGGTAACTTCTTCAAGAAAATATAACAATCCTAAATGTAATGTACCTAATAATAAAATTGCAAAATACACAAAGTAAAAATTAATAAAACTAGAAATCATATTTGAAGAATTTTAACCCCCCTCACTTTGATGAAAAAAAGTAATTTGGAAGGCTTAACAACATTATCAGCCACCTTGACCTATTTGTTATTTATAGAGAACTATACAAAAGATGACAAGTAGAAAATTAATAAGGATAGACTATATTCTGTCATAAAATAAGCTATGAGAAATTTTAAAAATTAGAAATTATACAGACTGTGTTTCCTGTGTGATTTATTACATTAGAAAATAATTACCTTAAAATATATAAAATACCACCTCCATGTCTTAACTACACAATTAAATGGTACACTTATGAGTATCTTATAGGTCAAAGCAGAAAGCACAAGAAAAGTAAATAAAAAGTGAATTGAACTAAGTGATAATTAAACTTAAAATATCAGAATCTCTGGGATGAAATAGTAGTTAGATAAACACTTATAACCTAAAGTACTAGTATCAGAAAAAATCTAGATAAATAATCAAATTTTTTAAATTAAGTAGTAGGAAGGAAAAAATAAAAGTGGGAGCAGAAATATATGAAATAGAAAAGAAATATTTCAGTGGAAATTGATAAAAATCCAATGAGTCTAATCAAGAAAAAAGCAAGAACACAAAAATTAATAGCAATGGAAAGGGAGCTATCAAAACAATCCTATGGATGCTAAAAATATATTAAGATGATATAACAATTGTATGCCAACATATTCGATAGCTTACATGGTGTCGTCTATTTTAGAAAAGGATCTGTGTGCTGATGAGAAGAAAGTCTAATAAGTCCTTGATGGATGTAATTTTCTATATGTGTCTGTTGAGTTTAAATTATCAATTTTATCATTTAGTTCTGTAGATTCTTTATTTAATTTTTATTCAGAGAATATATCCAGTGGTGAGAGGAATGTGAAAGTCACCCAGTATTATTGCGTTGAGGTCTACTGGATTCTTGAAATTGAGAAGGGTTTGTTTGATATATGTAGATGTTCCATTGTCAGGGGCATAAATATTTATGATCATTATATCTTATTGATGTATAAGTCTCTAAAGCAGTATAAAGGTCCTTCTTTGTCCTTTCTGATTAACTTTGATTTGCAGTCCACTTTATCTGATACAAGGACAGAAACCCTTGCTTGTTAATGAGATCCATGTGAATGATATATATTTTTTCCATCCTTTTATTTTTAGTCTGTGGATGTCTTTGCCTATTGGGTGAATCTCTGGAGATGGCATATTGTTGGTTATGGTATTGTTTTTCAATCTGACATGCCACTCTATGTCTTTTGATTGATTAGTTTAGGCCATTTACATTCAATGTTATTATTAAGAAATGATTTTTATTCCCTGTAATTTTATTTCTGGATTTTACTTTGAATCAGTTTCTCCTTTGATTGACTGTTCTTCTAGTATAGTCCCTCCCTTTGCTGTTCTTCACTTTTATTTTTTACTTCTTCTTCATGAAATATTTTATTGAGAATGTTTTCTAGTGAAGTGTTTCTAGTTGTGAATTCACTTAGCTTTTTTTAATCATGAAAGATTTTTATTTCATAGTCAATTTTGAG